CATAACACAAGCTTCCAGGCAGAAGTACGAGCAATAACGAAATGCGTTAATAGGATTAGAATAAATATGGCGCCCACAGCGCTTAATATATTGGACTGTAAATATATTGGACTGTAAGAAAGCTTTAACTGAATAATCTCCCAGAGGTAAGGTTTACATCATATGGGTACCAGGCCACTCGGGAGTAGTCGGCAACGAAAGGGCGAGTGTAATAGCTTTAAAGGGAAGGGAGCTCGAGGCAGTTAACCTGACAAACGCAAAACCATTCGACGCAACAAAAGCTGAACTAAAAATATGGGTGAGAGAATCCCATAAGGCCTCTTGGAATAATGAAACAGTGGGTAGAACCACGAAGATCCTATGGGGTGACCCTGATGAGAGCAAGACGAAAAATCTCCTCAAAATGAGCAAGTCTGAAGTTAGTATGATGGTACGTATTCTGAGTGGACACACAGGATTACGAGCACATCTATGCAAAATTGGACGTGCGGATTCAGACGAATGTAGAGCATGTGGAGAGGGCATTGAAACTCTGGAGCACTTTCTTTGCCACTGCCAGGCATTCGTCGAAGTTAGATCCAAGTATCTTGGAAGTGATGTTATTCCGGAAATAACATTCCTGACTAACTTGGAAGATTCTTAGGAATTACGTTCAGGAAACTGAGTTTCTGAACACCGAAAAATAATTCATTCAGTGAATTTAATTTTTTTTCATGATAAGGAGCGCACAACAGGCCCGATAGTGGCCTAGGTGTATTTCTTCGGATTTGATGTAGTATACATTCTCCAATCAACCTAACCTAACCATTCCCAGAATTATATATACTTCCATAGAATATTATATGTGGTGGCTGGGAACGTTTTGACTTCAGAGTCCGAGACCCAGTGTTCTTGAACCAGGCCAATGTCGAGATCTTCCTCAGCTAGGAATACCCGTAGGTTATCTGTAGAACATTTTAAGCATTCTAAAAAGTCGTTAATAATTAAATCTTTGTTGTAAAGATGATTTAAAATAACACCTTTTCATATATAACAATAGCATATTTGGTACCGAAAGATAAATTGTTTAGAAATTTTATATTAAACTGGCTATACCCTGTGTGCTTCGCTGCCCTCATCGTAATGGAATAAAATAAATATCATTATTGTAAATGTATATGTATCTGCAATATCAAAAAGTCCCCTTTTAGAGAACTCTATAAGTTTGATTTTATGATTGTAGTATCAATATTACAGAAAATTAAAAAAAAACAGTTAAAGAACGATAAAGTACCAGACAGTGCTTTTTTATAGATTTTCATTAAATCAGAAATGCCTCGCATACAGATTTTTATACAATCAGGAAGCTGCGTGTCCAATTTTAGGTTCAGTATTATAGAAATTTCGAAAAGTATTAGTAAAATAACAACAAAGTACCTGAAAATTACCAAAGGGCGCCCTTTTATAGATTCTCTTTAACTCCGTGCTCCACATGCTTAATTTCATGTTTCTAGGATCAATATTATAAAAAACACAAAAAGCACTTTTGAGGAACGAAAAATTGCCAAAAAGTAATATTTTATTTGTTCTCACTTACTCCGAGCTCTACGTGCTTAATTTCATGTTTCTAGGTTCAATATTATAGAAAATTCAAAAACTACCTTTTGAAGAACGAAAAAGTACCAAAAAGTCCCCTTTTTTAGATTCTCATTTACTCTGAGTTCTACATATTTAATTTCATGTTTCTAGGTTAAATTTTATAGAAAACTCAAAAAGTACCAATCAAAGGACGAAAATGTACCAAAAAATCACCTTTTATAGATTCTCATTTACTGCGGGCTCTACATGCTTAATTTCAAGTTTCTATGTTTAATTTTAAAGAAAACTCATAAAAGTACCTCTGTAGAACGAAAAAGTACCGAAAAGTCTCTTTATTATTAATTTCATGTTTCGATTTGAATATCATAGAAAACTCAAAAAGCACCAAAAAAGATCACTTGGTACCGGGGTTCCAAATAATACCCGATTAGCATATTTAGTGTTTCTAAATCTAAAAATTGTATCTTAATTGGATCATTGTCTTTGAATAAAATCAAATTTCCCGTTTTTACCCCTTTGGCAACTTTTTTCTCTCCATTAACGAAACAAAAATTCTATTCCAAAAAGTTGCAACATCGTAGTGGGAGCCCCTTATTATGTATTCATATGTATGTATAAGTTAATAAACCAAAAACAATGTTTTATGAAAAAAGTGCCAAAAATATGTACAATTTTCACCCTTTAAACGTCCGAATATCCAAAAAGTACTAATTTCATATTTCATATGTCAAGTTAGGAAGTCAAAGATATTGTTTGAATGTTCACTGGTTTAAAAGATACATGGGATGCAAAAAAGTACCAAAATACAGTTTTTACCCGTTTATTCCCTAAAAGGGCCGAATTTGAAAAAAGTACCAGACACCAATCCGCTTATTTTTTAAATGAACGACGATAAGCTTTAAACTGTTTGTATCTATTCTAGTTTAGGAGATATGAGGTTACCGAATTTACCTGTTTTTACCCTTTTTTACCCCTTAAACATACGTATTTCCAAAAATCAATGTAAATTAAAAACAAGTAAGAAAGTATAGTCGGGCGTGACCGACCATATGATACCATACACCAGTTATGAATATTAAATGTGAGTTATTTTTCATAATAAAGCATATTTATCTTCTATTACCTTGTTCCGATGCATTTAAACAATTTATGGATGAAAAACTAATTTTCTGAAAGAGGCTTTATATGGGGGCTAGGGGCAAATATGGACCGAGCCTGATAAAATTTTGTGAATACATTTATATGTACATAATATTTTATTGTACTGAATTTTATCGCGATATTTGTGTTTATAAGTTAATTTTGGACATTCAAGTAATTTTCTGAAGGGGACGTTGTATGGGAGCTAGGGTCAAATGAGGCCCGATCTCTATGAAATTTGGCAAGGTCATCAAGGCTTGTATAAAACTTAGTTGTGCCTTAGTTTTATCTATATACAAGTATATTTAACATAATTATGAGCTCAGAAGCCCTTTTCGGGGGGTTCTGTTGTATGGGGGCTAGGTGAAATAATGGACCGATTTTAACCATTTTCAATAGGACCAAAAAAAGCGTGTGTTCCAAATTTCATCCAATTATCTTGAAAATTGCGGCCTGTACCTTGTATGTAATTCCTAGGGGGGGTGCCAAACCCGCTATTGCTAGTCCGCCAGTTTTTTGTCCTAAATATTCGTGTCGATACTAAAATGGCTCTGAGGACTCTAGCTGTTATACCTTTAGAGAGAAATTTGTTTATATGGGAGGTGCCACGACCACTGTTGCTAGGCTGTTCATTTTGTCAACATGTTCATATGGATGTCAAAGTTGTCCATACAACATTTGAGGACTATAGCTGTTGCAGTTTCTAAGATATGCGACTTTTAATACTGATTTTGTATGTGGGCGTGGCACCCACTTGACATTTTAAAATAAAGGGTAGCCTATAGTTCCTTCCAGACATACAGGATGACACAGTGAAAAAATCAAGAAAATCGGTCCAGCCGTTTAGCAGTCTATAGACTTCAAACAAACTTCAACAAACCCACAAACAAATAAACACACATAAACACACACATATATATATATATATATATATATATATAGATCGATAGATAGATATATAGATAGATGGTAGATTTGGACAAAAAACGTTATGGTATTAAATAATACAAAAAATTCTGGAAAAATATACATAAAAACATAAACTTTGCTGCATCATTTAATGGCCTATACAATAAAAATGGGAAAACTAATGATAGCGTTGTATAGAAAAAGGTCTTAGCTTTCTTTCGAGGCATACTCAATTTTTATCAAAAAAATCATTTCTAAATATTTACTTTATGCCAAGTTTACTTAAAGGGGACCCCAATGTGCAATGTTTTGTACAAACAGAAAATATCATGGCATTTTTATATGAAAAATATTAGTTAGTTAACAATGGACAAAATAATGAAGTCTTTTTGGATGGAACGGAGAATTAACAAACTGAGCGTTGCCGGTTCGATTCCTGGTCGATTTCATATTTTTTTGTCATAAATAATTAAAACGTTTTTATAAATCAAATGAAGTGTCGAAATTCGGTTCAACAATAAAAATTTTAAAGCAATTTTTTTATTTTTTTCATAGGATCAGCAACGTTGAAAATCTATATCTATCTCCCGTACAAAATTATATAAGTTTTCTAACTGATCATATTATCATACATTTTTCTCACACATAGAAATTATTTTAAAATTTAAATACAAAACATAGGTTAATTTCAATCAATCCATAAAATTTGATAATTTATGAAACCAGTTTAAGGTGGAGGGTATTTAAGATTCGGCAAAGCCGAATATGGCACTCTAACTTGTTTTTATTTAAAAACGAGAAAATATTCGCTTTTTATTACAGTTTTATTTATATTTCTTCAAATTGTGGTGCCCATATTACTACACCTTCATACTACTACTACATATTTATATGCGAAAATAAAATTTAGATTAGTAAATTGTCTAATCTAATGAATCAGTTAATTGTGTTAACAAAATAATAAACGGATCGATTCATAAAGTACAAGACCAGCTTACGAAATTCACTAGAAATTTATTGCACATGATTTGATGGTGGTTATATAAGACTCTTGTTTCGTGAAATTTCGCAACGAACTATACAATTTTCTTCAGGATACACATTGGGGCAGAACCATCACATTTGACATATACAATTTAACGGATGTTAGAAAGTGAGCCGATTGGTATTCTTTAAGTTGTGTGTATCACCAATATTTTTGGGTGTTACAAACATCAGCACCTTCCCCACTATATGAAGTACAACAATTTCAAAAATGAAAATGTTTTCAGCTTTACTTAATTGCCAAATATGTATAATGCATAATTTATAAAATAACAATATTTTAAAAATGACCAAGATTACATACTAATAAATACATATTTATGTTTTAGAGATGGACATTTGGTGAAACTCTTTGCAAAATATTTCCAGTAATTTTTTATGGCAACGTTGCTGTATCACTTCTGAGCATGGTTTGTATAACAATAAACAGGTACCCGCCCGCACTGATTTAAATTAATGTACATTAAAATATATTGTGCTTTTTTTCAGATATATATTGATTGCATGTCACAATTTGTATGCTAATATTTACAAAACAAAATTTATTGCTATACAATTAATATTTGTTTGGGCTGTGTCATTCTTATTACTTGTAAGTATGAATGTTTATTATATATTAATTATATACTTTAAGTCAAAATCTACCTTTTTGAACTGGGTGGAAAAAATATTCTCACTAAATATTTAAAATAATTTAGTCTTTTGTGGTTTTCAAATAAATAGGCGGATTTGTTTTTTTTTATGAATAGAAGAATTTGAGTTCGTTAAAAGCGAATTCTAACAAGTAAGAGTGTTATGTATATTCCGCTATGTCGAAACTTATATAAACATCATCAAAACATGTGTCGTAAATTTAATTTAATTTTAGAAGGACGTTTTATGGGATCTAATATGGACCATACTCTAAAAATGTTTAAAAGTGAATAATATATTTTTGTCGCACTCGTTTTAATATTGCTGTGTGGACCAATCATCGTAAAATTTGGATAAGAGATTTTTGTTCTTATAGAATTTGTTTATGTGGATTTTCGCATCTATATTCGAAAAACAATTATTGGCGTTAACATCATTTTCCGAACGGGGTGCTATGGGCCAATGAGGACCGATTTTACCATACAGTATGTTCTGCTACTAAATAAAAACGGGTTTGCGATGAACATAAAAAAAATATAAGTTTATTTCTGTAGAAAAAAAATTACCGTTATAATTTGATGCGTCACAAATCAGAAAATATCACTTACCACAGTTTTTTCACCCGTCTTCGACAAAGTTAAATTTCTATTTAAACTTTTTCATTGCTCTTTTTAAAGTTAACAAATAAGAATATAAAACGAAGAAGAATCAAAAAAGTGGCGGTGCAAAAAATATGACAAATAACATTCATTAAGAATTAATAACAAAATAACCCATTAAGGTTCGTTCTGGAACACTCCCACCCCCGTGGAGCGATCAGCTTCACCACTTTCAACATCCAGAACGGCTAATTTTGATGTTTTCACATCGGCTCTTCGTGCCACGCCGTCGGGTCCAGCATAAACACAAGTGACCAAACCTCTCCGCCATTGACACCTTGGAACGTTCGGATCACATATGAAGACCAAGTCTCCCGCTTTAATTGGAACAGTTCGTTCACACCATTTCACTCTCCTAGTTAGCGTAGGTAAATATTCACTAACCCACCGTTTCCAAAATCGATCTCGTAAGCATCTTGAGACTCTCCATTGTTTTTTGAGAGTAATAGGCTTTAAGTCAGCTGATTCGTTGGCTGGGGTATTGGCAACGTTCCCTCTGCCTATCAAAAAATGGTTAGGGGTAAGCGGCTCTTCTTCATGAATGCTAATAGGCAAATGAGTCAAAGGTCTTGAGTTAACGATATTTTCAGCCTCGATTAATAGAGAGTGAAGCACGTGTTCTTTGGGTGAGACATTTTTCAATGTATGTCGTAATATTCTTTTCACACACTGTACCATCCTTTCCCAAATGCCGCCTTCAGATGGGTTAACCGGACAGTTAAAAATCCATTCAACACCCTTCATTGACATCTCGTTTTGAATTCTCACGTAATTTTGATGCATCATCTGACAGTGATGGTGCATGACTACAAGCTTGGTAAATTTATGATTTTTGGGGAGAATAATAGGGCGCCTTGAGCTGTAGGGCAAGTAGCTAGCTGCATCTATTCTTCCGTACACTCTTAACAGTCCATCATCATCAACATAAGGCATCAGATTATACAGATGACTGGTTTTTTCGAGGGGTTGCCCACATTTAATGTGTTTCAATTCATCCGAAAAGGCCTCTCTCTGGGCTAGAAGACATAATACTTTTCCTGCGTGTTCCACCACAGTTGAGGTAAGACCATGACGTTCCAAATTGACAGAGGTTTATATATCTTAATACCCAAGCTACGGTTCTTTTTATACGATTAAGCGATGAAAATCTGTTAAAATCTATTATGTTATTATTAGTAATTAATAATGAAGTCTTTTTGGAAATTTCTTCTTCATCCACCTCATTAGTGATTTCAATCTCATTTATTGTCCACTCTTCTTCAGGTAATTTAAGGAAGTTTGGCCCATTTAACCAGCGTGAAGAAGAGGAAAAATCTACTTTATTGAATGGTCTTGTGGCCTCATCTGCTACGTTTTCCTTCGTTGAAATCCATCTCCAATTTTCAACATCTGTAGAGGCAAGTATTTCCGATACACGGTGAGCAACATAAGGTTTATATTTTCTGTGAGCACTCGCAATCCACTTTAGCACAGTTTTAGAGTCACCCCATAAAACGCATTTTTCTGGAACAAAGCTGTGTTCACTTAAAATGTTCTCCTTCAAACGTGTCCCTAAAACGGCTGCTTGCAGTTCGAGACGTGGAATTGAAACTCTTTTAAATGGGCTACATTTGGTTTTTGATGTTATAAAACTGGTACTAATGTTACCGTCACCATAGGAATATCTCCAATATGCAACTCCTCAAATGCTTCCTCACTGGCATCCACGAAGATATGAAGTTGAAGAGATGTTGGCTTGCCACACGAAAATAAAAACAAGGGGCACGAAATTCTATAACACTGTTCATTTGACTTCTCCATCGTTCCCATACTACCTGGGTATTGGTTCGTCCCAGAGGCAGTTACATCTTCAAATTTCTCGTAACAGTAATTTTCCACCGATGATAAAATGACTCAAGTAACCAAGAGGATCAAATGTTGACATTATGATGCTTAAAACTTCTCTTTTAGTTGGACTGCGCTGGCCAGACATAACAATATCATCAACACGACGAAATTTTAAATTGAACATAAAATTGTCACTAGCAGGTTCCCAAATCAGACCTAGCACCCTTTCTGTGCAATCGTTACCAGTAATTTGCTTTGATGTTAAGCTACCATGCAGGGTTGTAATAACCTCATCGGAGTTTGAGATAAAACCCCTTAATTCAAATCCTCCATTTTTGTGAATAGCTTTAACCTGTTTGGATAGTTTATAGCTTCTTCCACACTGTCGAAACTATCGACAAAATCATCCATGTAATGGTGATCGCATGTAGCTTTAATCACGCGGGGATGGAAACTCTGATGATCTCGGGCATTTGTTTTCATGACATATAATGCCGAACAAGGCGAACAGGCTGCGCCGAAGGTCATGACAACCATTTCGTATTCATTGGGTGGCTTTTTTGTACTGGCATCATTCCAAAGAAATCTTTGGGAGACTCCATCGCTTGGCTGCACTAAAATTTGATGGAACATTTCGCGTATATCGGCACCAACGGCAATTTGACCACGGCGGAAATTGTATAGCGTAGACGGCAAAGACGCAATAACTTGAGGTCCTTTTAGCAATTGGGAATTCAGGGAAATGTTCTCTACAGTGGCGGCGGCATCGAAAACTAATCGTATTTTATTTGGTTTGTGGGGTTAGTCACACCAAAATGTGGTAAATACCACTTTTTTAAATTGGTCACCTTTATTTCATCAGAAGATAATTTACGTACGTATCCTTTATCAATATAACCTTGGATAACTTCTTTATAGGCCTTAGAAAAATTTGAATCTCGTTTCATTTTCATTTCGATCCCTTCTAGGCGTTTACGTGCCATATAATAACTGTTTGGAAACATCACCTCGTCATGTTTCCATAACAGACCTGTCTGGAATCTATCACCAACTCTTTTCGTGGATTCACTTATAATTCGCTTGGCTCTGATATCATCTTGGCTTTCCACAATAGGAGATGTCCTCACGCCCATACTTTCTATATTAAAATAATCGGCCACCATTTGATGAAGATCATCAACTTCTTTAACATTGACAAAAAAACACGATTTCTGCATTGGTGATAAACTATGACACGGTCCAAACACCACCCAACCTAATTCTGTATCACTAGCAAAGGGACCCGTCAAGTTGTTTTTATTGGTGACTGATGGTAGTCCTAAAAATGCATGATCCAAACCGATTAATAATTTAGGGACTACGTTTGTGTAAGATTTAACCGGCGCAGAAGGTGACCCTTCAAAAGCTTTTTCAATATCTTCTTGCGTTAGGCTTTGCATGGGTAGATTTAAGTTAGAAACAGCATATACATTTTTTAGTAGTTGGCAACTCTTTTTGTTGGTCCCACTTACCTTGACATTAAAGGATATTGATGGCTCACGAGCCGATCGGCCACCAAACCATTGAATATTTAGAGGGCAATTTTTTCCACGAACGCCTATTTTGTCAGCAACGTCTCTATCTAACATTGTAATGGACGAGCCATCATCAAAGAGGGCATATATATCCATATGACTATTTTCCCCATACAATGTGACAGGCAAAACTCTAAATAGTAATTTGTTGTTAATTGTAGCAGAACAGCTAAGAACGTTTTGTTGGGGTTGGTTGGTAGGGCATGTTGATGTAGAAGGTGGGTCGCAAGTTATATTTTCATGTAGCAATTTATTATGCTTGCGGTGGCAACCATCCTTTACAGGTTACGTCGACAATCACGAGTGGTATGACCGACATTTAAGTACATATACTGCTTGCGTCAATGGAGCAGCGACGCTGCTAACTGTCGGGGCAATTTGTAAACTTGAGATGGCGGTCAATGGCGGACGTCGTTGATTGCGAAACACTGACTTGTTTGAGGTTAGGATCACTTACCTGGTCTTTTCTTTGGATAGTTGATTGTAGCTCTTGGAACTGGCGGTTACTGTCACAAAGTTTCACCTGTGTGTCTGAAAGTTGACTCTGCAACATAGCAATGTGTTTTTGCATTTCTATTACGCTGGCAGTTGATGTCTTCTGTGGCTGTTGGGCTGGCATGCTTGCTTTAGTATGGCTTACTGATGGCTTTGACACAGGCTGTATCTGCTGAGCACCACTGGCTTTGTTGGATGTTGTATTACTTATGTCGGCTGACGCTGGCTGCGTCTAAACATGTGGCGTGGCTGGCATGTTTTGTCCTGTAATGTTAACATCTCTTGCTTGTGTGGTTGTGCCGCTGGCTGCGGATGAAACTCTGCAGGATCAGAGGGATCGGATGCTACATTATCACCTTTTAAACGAGGCACAGTGGTATAGGAAAAAAAAAAGAGGGAAATAA